TTTTTTTTTCAATTATTTTTAATCATTTCTTGATCTATTTGTTTGTTTTGAAAATATTTAGGACTTTTGCTACAATTTTTCCTTTATCTTGTCATTTATGGCCTGTTTGATTCCTATTTTTCTTAAAATACATTTTTCTCTATTTTATTTTCAACTGCACGTTCTTCATTAAAATAATATTACATGTAAATCAAAAACATTTCCTTATTTTTCATCAATCTACTATTCTAAAATTCATTTTTCATACCCTCTTAATTGCTCTCTCCTCTTTTTCTTTTTTTCTTTTTAAATATATTTAAATATGAAGTATATTTGTCATTTCATGTTTATTTAACAGAAAAAATGAATTGAAGACATGCTTTATTATTAAGTGAAATGTTGGGAGATATGATGCTAAAAAAAAACTTCTACGATATATTGGTTACAATTTACAAAGGTCAGGGACGAAAAGTGCAATTTGCCCTTAAAAAACACGAGAAACATCTAAAAAATTCAGGTTAAAGAAAAATGTGAATAAATCTTTTTGAATTGTATAATTAGCATAATCTTTAATCAAATTTATCGACCCTACCTTCTAATCGAATCAAACATATAGAAAGGCTTAAAAGCATTTTTGAAGCGGTTTATAAATATTTTAAATTAAAAATAAATAAATATCAGTGAAAATTAAAGTTTGTGATTTATCTCTCTTGTTTTATCTTTAATCAAACTTATGAACATTAACTTTTAAGTTTTAAATTGAATCAAACACCGAAACCTTACTGGAAGATTGAAGTGGTTAATAAATGGTTAAATTATAAATATAATAAATGTAAACGGTGAATAAATAGATAATATTTGTGAATTTTACGAAATGTGTTGATAAAAATTAAATGAACCGATTATTTATAATTAGAGCCTGTTTGGGAGTGATTTTGAAAATTGATTTTTTGATCGTTAGGAGAAAAGTGGGGTCCACCTATGAGAGAAGAAGTCAAATATGACGGCTGAAATAGTGAAATAACGATCAAAAAAGCAATTTTTTGGATGAAAAAATTGAGCCCAAACAGGCTCTTAATAATTTGTAGTCAAAGTGCCAAACTATGGCTAACCCACATCAATTGATTAGTTGGCATTGTTTGTTTTGTATTTGTTTTTTCAAAAAGGAAAAAAAATTAAAGTTGAAAAAGATTTGGGGTTTTTTTCTACGGTCACAACTATTTCTAATATGACTGTGTGTGGCAATTGAGCTGAATAGCTCATAAAAATATGAGTTGTGAGCGGCTCAAGCTCGTATTTGGATGAGTTCGATAATGAGTCGAGCGGGCGTACTCTCTAGGCGAGCCTAAAGACATCGTGGACTCGTAAAAAAATGAGAACAAAATAGTCAAAAAAATTATTGAGCTCGTGGGCTTGGCCCTTGAGCATGAATCCAGCTCGTGTGTAGATGGGCCAATCTGGTTCGGCTCGACCAATTATCACCCCTAAACATGACACACCTTGCCAAATTATAGCCAACCTGTCCGGTTTAGTTCAAAAAGTTAATAAAAATATAAATCAAAGTCAATAATTAATTTTAATCATATTTTTTATAAAATCTAAAACCTTTTTATTGAATTTTTAATCATATATTTTATCAACTATTATTTAAAATCTATTGAAAAATCTGATTTTAGTTATCCCATTCTCCCGCCAAAATGTTTGGTGTCATGATTTTCGAATTGATAATCCCGCCGAGAATAAAACGCCAGTGTAAACGGTGAATAAATAGATAATATTTGTGAATTTTACGAAATGTGTTGATAAAAATTAAATGAACCGATTATTTATAATTAATAAATTGTAGCCAAAGTGCCAAACTATGGCTAACCCACATCTATTGATTAGTTGGCATTGTTTGTTTTGTATTTGTTTTTTCAAAAAGAAAAAAAATAAAATTAAAGTTGAAAAAGATTTGGGGGTTTTTTTCTACGGACGCAACTATTTTTAACATGATTGTGTGTGGCAATTGAGTTGAGTAGCTTGTAAAAATATGAGTCGTGGGTGGCTCAAGCTCGTATTTGGATGAGTTCGATAATGAGTCGAGCAGGCCTACTCGCTAGGCGAGCCTAAAGACGTCGTGGACTTGTAAAAAAATGGGAAAAAAATTGTCAAAAAAATTCTTGAGCTCGTGGGCTCGGCCCTTGAGCATGAATCCAGCTCGTGGGTAGATGGGCCAAGCCGGCTCGGCTCGACCAATTATCACCCCTAAACATGACCGACCTTTCCAAATTATAGCCAACCTGTCCGATTTAGCTCAAAAAGGTAATAAAAATATAAATCAAAGTCAACAATTAATTTTAATCATATATTTCTTCAACTATTATTTAAAATCTGATTTTAGTTATCTCATTCTCCCGCCAAAATGTTTGGTGTCATGATTTTCGAATTGATAATCCCGCCGAGAATAAAACGCCAAACTTGTGATTTTTCTCCAAAAATTAATCAGCAGAGCAGGCCGAATTCTTCGAAGAGAGCGAGATGGACGTGAAACAAGCAGGGTCATCTCTAGACTCTTTGATTTCCTCATTCAACACTCGAATATCAGAGCTCCAGCAATTCGTAATTGCTCGCAACAGTTAAGAAATTAATTATTATTATTTGGATTCTATGTCAAAGTTCATTTATCATAATTGTTATTTTTTTTCAATTAAACAGTGTATCCAGCAAGCAGTGTCAGTGATTTATCGGAAATCGACTCCGCAGTGAAGGGAATGGAGATCCAGGTCCAAAAAATCCGAGATAGATTGCGAGAAGAAACTCAAGCAATTCCAAAAGCTAAAGTATTTCAATTATGTTTTTTTCAAAAAATAAATGCATCGATATATTTATTTGATGTGGGCGGTTATGTAATTTGAATTTTGTAGTTGATGTTGGAATTTGGGCTTAACGTTTGAAATAAATGAAATAATTTATAGTTTTGCAGAAGTAATTTTTTCTCTTTATAGTAGCTATTCTGCTCTAGGATTAGGGTCAGAAATTCGTCATTTCAGACGAAAATTTGAATTTTGACAGAATTAATAATTGGGGGAAAGGAAAAGATGTTTATATACTTAATTTGTGTCGGAATGGGGTTACTTAGGAATTCTATATATGCTTTAAATATTGCTTAAATGTTATATAAGGATACGTAGGACTGAGGTTTTTTTTTTTTTTTTGGGAACTACAGAAGTTAATTGAGGCAGCATTGGGGCAACAAAAGAGATTGAAGAGTATGTCTGCATGTGTCCCATCCTGTTTGCCAGAAATAGCAACCGGCGTGATTCAGGATACAAGTAAACGGTAAATTACGTTGTTATTATCTGTACGAGAGTTTGTGCAATTACGTGCTGTTCAATCTTATTTTTGTTATTATTGCTATTATTATTATTTTGCATGAATTTGTAAGGAATCTTAGATTTTTATCTCTTTCTATTATAATGTTCTTCAGCGTGCAACCAGGAACGCCTAAGAGGGATCTTGTGACTGAATCTTTGAACCATGAGGAGCCTGCACCCCGGGTAAAGAACTTTCTCATATTATCTGGCTTCTCTTCCTGCATTGCCCTTGAGACATTTTTGTATGTGCGGCCTTTGCCATTTGCCTAAGGAAAAAGGATCGAAGTAAATCATTCAAGAGTTCACCAAGGACTAGTGCAGCTGAAGATCTTATGAGTTTCCATGCACTTTTAGTGGAAAAGAAACATGTTGATGAGTCTATCCCTTAAACGCAATCTTGTTGATTCGGTTTGGGTTAGGAAGTATCAAGGTGTTTCAACCACTAGACTTTGAACTCAGCATCTCTACTGTTGTAATGTCGCCACCGATTATCATCCAAAAGAATCTTATGGAACATGGCCATGTCACTAACAACATTTTTTTACTCAACATAGCAGAAGAATTCCTGCATAAAGGTCCAATGAGATGCCAATGATCTTATCAGGCAAAGTAGATGAGGCATTGCCAATCTTGATGAGACTACATGCTGGACCCCTCATATTCCTTCAGTGCTAATCCTCTATCCCTAACTGTGAAAGTGTTCATCCATTTAATCAAAGGTTTATTGTTAATTACCAAATATCCCAACAGTTCAGGTTGGAAATGCCCAATTCACCTTCCTCAAGACTAGGGTTGGGCATGGTCTGGTTCAGTTCTCATCCGAAAGTTTCAAGTATTTAGTAAGTCGAATCGGAACCATTTGAGTTCGGTTCCATTCGCTTCTCAAATTTTGTACTATAATTAATTTTTTAATATTTACTAAGTTACTTTAATTCTACTAACGACATGTTTAATCTTAGCCTTTACAAAATAATGTAATCCAATCTTATGTATCTTTTGCGTCTCCTTTTGCTGTGATTGTTAAAATCACGGGAAGAGAAAGATAGCAAGCTCACAATAATTAAGAGTGGTGCTGTCAAGCTTCAATTCTATTTCTCCAAAATAGTAGAAACTGCACTAAGGTAGTATAACATATTTGAGTAAAACTTAGGTCAATTTGATTAAGTTGCGCTTGGACTGAAAATTAGAAATAGGAAAATTAGAATCGAACCGAAGCCGTCGGTTCTTGATTTAGATACTCGTTCGGATATTTAATTTAAGAAGAACCGTTTGGTTTGGTTTGCTTCGAGATTTTTGTCTAGCCCCACTCAAGACATTGGCGACCATTGGCTCTTGTCCAGAGGAGAAAGATGCACAAATTAGTTGTTTAACGTCCTTGAACAATTTTTCTGAAGGACGATGAAGATAGGATAATATCCTTGAATGCTAAAAACTGAAGCCTTCCTACATAAGTCAATTTCTTGGTTGCCCAGTTCTTAGTCCTTTCGGTCATTTTCCACAAGGGACTAGCATTAATAAGTGCCTAGTTACTCATATGAAGTGAAGATGCAAATACATCACCGGAACCTGCCTAAACTAAATCCCATCACTTGAACATAGAAATTCAGGTTCGTGCCACACATCTCATAGCAAAAGAAACATGCAAGTCTGTAATGCCTCACATATACCCATACTCTAGCATCAAGGAAGAGCAGGAGAAGACCTCCATCATTCTGCACCTCCTCTAAGAGTGAATATCCAACTTGAAGTAGATTTATTCTCTCCTGCACTCGATATCTAACTTGCATCAGTATATCCTTCCAAGATTTTAGGAAATTTTGTATATTGTAACCCAAGATTTTTGGTTTTCTTTAGATAACCAAGAACCCTACTGATGGCCTTCCAATGTTCTAAACTTGGATTGTTAGTAAATCTACTTAGTTTACTTACAGCAAATGCTACATCAAATCTTGTACATTGTGATGCGTACATAAGACTTTCAATTGCACTTGCGTATTCTATTTGTGCAATTGCTCTACCTTCATTTTTTATCAATTTAATATTTGGATCTATAGGAGTGTTAGCCTCCTTAATATTCAAATGTTTGAATTTGTTTATCACACTCTCAAAATAGTGTGATTGGCTTAATGTAAAACCCTCACTATCCTTTTTAACTTTGATACTAAGGATAGTATCAACTTCTCCAAGATCCTTCATTTTGAAAGTAGAGGATAGAAACAATTTTGTTTCTTTGATCCC